GAAGAAGAAGAAGAAGAAGAAGAAGAAGAAGAAGAAGAAGAAGAAGAAGAAGAAGAAGAAGAAGAAGAAGAAGAAGAAGAAGAAGAAGTTGTTGAAGTTGAAGTTGTTGTTGCTGCCATATTTTGAGTCCTGGAGTTTAGGGAGAGACTTAAGGTGTTAGAATATCAGTGTACATTGCAGCCTTACCATGGAGGAGGAAGAAGCAGGAGCTAATGCAGGAAGCCATATGCCTGGATCACCAAAACTATTATGAGAACAAGTTTGGTGAAGTCCAATGGCTCTCTAACCTGCTTTGAGTCTACTGGAATGGTTCTGTAACCTTTTATTGCACTGGAATAGTTCTAGATGCTTCTTTGATTCTACGTAGGTATGGGCAATGTACCTCTGCCATGTCCAAGGGCTCTGTGGTTAAAGGACCTTTTGTGCCTGAGGATACTCATCACTCTAACCCCTAAAACAAACATCCAGAGAACCATATGAATAAAATGCTTTGTGTTTGATAACTTTTTTTCTTCAAAAACATATATTTGATAATTTTTGAAGGAGATAGATGATCATTTTAAGTAATTTCCTATTTAAAGAGCTGGAGTGGTGTTAACTGCAGGCTATCAAGCCACACCTGCAGGCAGTTCTTGGGCCCAGCACTCTGGTTACTCGTGAATGATGAGGACTCAGATTCACTGAATTACACTGAATCTACCTTTGTGTGCCCATATGGTGCCCACTTTGGGGGGGGAAGATAGTATGGACTGTCACCAGCCATATGCCTGGTAATATTAGAGCTTTTTAGTCACCCAGTGGTATGGCATAATACAGAAAAATAATGGAGATAAAGCACCAGCTCTAACCAGTGGCCTGCTTTGAACCTCCTGCTGGCCCATCCTACCTTTATAAGGCTAAGAAGTTGTGTAGTTTGCCTCTTTGGACTTGCTCTATCCACCTTTGCCAGGCCGTTGGCAAGACCTCAGTCAAACAGAATGGGAGAAGACAAAAGAATCTGACTGATGCCTGTGATATATGCGTGTGTCCATCACCAAAATTAAAGGATAAATTGGCTCAAAGTGTAGACACTTGAGAAAGCACATTGAACAAAGACATCGATTCTGTTACATTTAGGAAGAAAAGAGAACAGTGTAAATCTCCAACCTGGACTGACCCTCCCACCCCCCAGCCTGCTTGCCAGAAGAAGCAGGGAATTCAGCTCAGCACCCCATGAGGCAAACACAGAAAAGGAGATGAGATAGGACAGGGATGCTTCCAGGCCCTGGAGACACCCAAGAATACACCACAGACACCTAAAAGGCTGAGACCACTAAGATGGAAGATGGCCAGAAAACTCTAAACACAGATGATCCTTGGGATCTTCCTGCCTAACATCCCCTGCCTTCTCTCCCTTCCTATGAAAGAGATAACTTCTCTTTGTTTGGAAAGGAAGGCTTTATTGTGCTCTCTGCCTAACCCAGGCACAATAAATTCCATGCCATGTTGCCCTTATGCAGCCTGGTGGTCTCTGCTGCTTACGTATGCTACAAGCATCAGGTCAACCCTCCTTCATCCTGAATATCTGCTTTTGTTTTACAGCCTTCAACATCCTGGTCAATGTTGGTGTGGTGCTGACCTACCCAATTCTGATCTCCATTGGGACAGTGCTTAGTGTCCCTGGAAATGCAGGTACTGGCCCTGCGTGGCATGTGCAGCTTCTGACCACCCCCATAAGTATCTCCTTCATGTTTGCTTCATCCTCTGACTTGTTTCTTCTAGTAATTGTAAATTATGCCCCTTCTCTCAGAAGATGTTTTTAAATATCATGAAGGTGGCAGACAACAGAATAACTATGCAGCAGATTTAAGATTTGCAGCTACAAAAACACTGTTTTTACTTCGTTGTGCTTTTAGAATTAAATACCAAATGTATCATTTGGGTTACATGTAATTTCCCTGACAACCTATTTTCATGGTATTTTTAGAGGAAGTTCTATGGAAACAAAAGACATGCCAGCATTGGACTGAAAAGAACACATCCCTAATGAAAGCGCAGGAAGCGAGCAGGGTGTGGGCTCCTTAGCATGCTGCCCGTGGGGGGCTGCCGAAGCTTCCTCTTAGGCAGAGCACATGGCCCGCCGGGAAAACCAGGTTAACTCTCTTCTGGGGCAAGAAGAGATGTTATTTTCCCAGGATGATCATTCTGGTGAAACCTGCCAGTAAAACTACTCATGAAAAGCCATAATCTGGATAAGAGTTCATTTCTTCCAACTTTAGAATTCTGTGATTCTGAGTCTTGAGAAGCCATCTTTCTTTTCTTCAGGACAAACAGCAAACACTTATTGAGCTCTTATTATGTGATAGGATTGTAAATAAGATAGCAAAAACTACATTGTTGTTCTCTCAAGAGTCTTACACCTCAATTTGGAAAAGAAAAATCAAACAATACCCACATGAATGACACTAGCATCCACTGCAAGCTCAAGCAGTAGATAGGTCCTTTTTTTTGCCATAATTTTATTGATAAACAAATAGCAATAAGACAGTTTCAAATCAAATAGGTAGGACAGTTTCAATAATTAACACACTGCATACATTCTTCTTAGTGGTTAATTGCTGTACAAGATGCGGACTTGATATCCTATTTGCAAACACCATTAGAACAAATCCCTCTATTCATTAAGAGAATGTAACTATATATCTATCCTAACCACTTTGAATACACAGATACAAAATGGACATTCATCGGTACATCCTTTTTTTGTTAAGTTCCGTTATTTGAATATTATAGGTGTGTAAACTCAGCAAAATATTCCAAAAGAGTCCAGTAGTCCATAATAGTATTGGGTCTTCCACTTAACTGGCAATGTCAGAAATTGTTGACCCGAGTCCCCTATAGCTCAACATAACAGCATGGCTTTATTTCTTATATTTCTTTTTTATACTTTTCTTCTGTATGGTTAAGACCAAGGTAAAGCAGGACCTATGCAACAAGAGTTGTAGCTTTTGGGTCTGATAAGGTCAGTGAAATCCCCTCAGGATTTATCCTGAGATCCTGTACCTCCGATTGTAGAACCTTTGTCAGTGTCAGCCATGTGGATGAGTCACGGCCATTGCTTGGCCAGTGTGCTCTCTGTGAAAGCCTGAGAGAATGTTTTCTCTCCATGTGACTCTCCTTAGGCACACTCTACATCATCGATCACTTTCCTCTTTGGCCCCATAATCTCCTTGATCAGAAAATTTGGGGCACTACCGAGTTACATGACATTACAGTGCAAGTTCTCATATGTCCTTAATTGACCTTAGAAGGCTAGGGCCAAAAAGTTGGCTTTCCTTGTAGCCCTCCTTTTTCTCTAATTTTGGTCTGCAAACTTAGGTTGTTAAACATCCAGAAGACAAGCTTGTTGTTATTATCGAACAACTTAGGTTGTTAAGCTTAACCTCACTATCTATCTGCATATCAAACATGTTAGGCATAATATGGTAGATAGGTCCTTTTGAATTATGGCTCCCAAAGCCTCTGACTTCTTGGATGGCTGAACGCCAGGAAACTTCCAAACTCTTTAAAATAGGTGGTATCTCTAGTGCTCTCTTCTGAAAGCAAAGCATTTCACTTGTGCATCTTGGAGCCCATGAAGGAAGGATTCTTGCTAATTCTTGAGGTTTTGTCAAGGCACCTTTCCTAGTGTCATTATGCAAATTACTTGGCTTCTTTTTAACACTGATCTTTTTATTTTATTTTATTTTATTTTATTTTGTGAGAAACTGTATTTATACACTCAAAGAAATATAAAAATAGAATGCTAATTAAACAAAGTCAATGATATAATTACATTTGAAAGACGGGCAGGGGTTGCTGAGAGCCATTAAAATCTCCAGTTACCATAACTGAATAAAATAGTATCCAAAAGTGGTAAATCTAGAAATCTTAGTAAAAAAAATATGTTATTTGAAAAAACAACCCAGGAGAATATAAGTGACAACAAAACGAAAATAATCACTTCTGATTCTTTAGCCCAGTAGAGCATTGTTTAGCCCAGTAGAGCACTGAACACTGATTTTTTTTAGCAACTCTGCTTTGCTCCAGATTTACAGGCATGTCCTTTCTGACAAAACTTAAAACTTTTTAGATGGGCTTTTTACTCCTGATTTTCCCTATAAATCTGTCTAAAAGCATGAAATAATATGCCGCATAGCCTTAGTATTGTGCTGTCTGGAAATTTTCTCCATGGGATTAATCAGATCAGTCTTGCACAAAGTCTTTGAACGTGGGCAAACATAGACAACTTTTCTGCCAGAGCGTAACATACATGGCCTTGAATCCAACTACCAAGGTAGTCCTTGTTTCCAACTGAGGCCTCCTGAGTCAAGCCTGTACTGTCTCCAATTTTATGAGCATTCTGGTCTTCAGAGCTGGTGCTAGCCTCCCATCAAGCTTGAATGACAGCATTCTAGGGTTTCTCTAGTCTGTATCTCCAAGCATGTCTTAACTCCTTCCACAAACCAGTTCCGACAGCTTCTAAGCCACGTGGTCAGGTAGAGTCACAGTGATGACCCCATTTCGCTGATTACCAGAATCTATCTTAAGCACATTCTCATCCCTAGAAAGAAATACTCATTACTTAAGGATAAGTTTGTTTTGGCTCAGAGTTTTTAGGGCATTTAGTCCATCTTCAGCTGACTCTAGTGCAGGAAGGGCATGGTAGAGAGGTCTGACAGAGGAAAGCTATCTGCTCATGCTGGCTAGGAAATAGATAGCGAAAGGAGAGCTAGGGAGGGAGCTGTATTCTTCCAGGTTGCACCCTCAGAGACCCACCTCCAACCTGGCCCTATCTCCTAATAGTAAATTAGCTATAGCTCTGCCATGATCCATTCACTTCATTAAGCCCCAAACCTGACCACATGAGGCTTTAATGGGGTGTTCTCCATCTAAACTATAAAGCTGTGTTGATGTTGAAATAATAGAAATATTTTGGGACAGACAAAGGGTTCTTGCAAAACATTGTGACTATGTTGAATGCTACCAAATTCACTTCAATATGCTAATTTGTATTCTAAGAATTTCCCCTTTAAATCTTGTAAAAGGACTGCATATACAAATTTGACTCATTTGAAAAATCTTTGATGAGGGCCAGCCAAATAGCTCAGTGGATTAAAGTGTCTGCAAGTAGGTACAGGGGCTAGAGGTTCGATCCCCCGGGGCATGCTGAAATCGCAATTGAGACCGAGTGGGGTGGTGCGCTCCTGTAATCCCAGTTCTTGGGATTACAGGTGGATCACTCACTATAAGTCCAATCTAGTAGTGAGACCCTGAACACCCTGTACAACCCTCCCTAAAAAAATGCCGAGAGAGAGAGAGAGAGAGAGAGAGAGAGAGAGAGAGAGAGAGAGAAACGAAAAATCCTTGATGATCTAGTGAAACTGGATAAAGATGAAGGGTTTCAGAGGAGAGTATTAAAAAGAAAAAACTGGAGAGGTCATTAAACCAGATGATGTGGAATTTGAGCTAAGCCTTGAAAGGTAAATATAATTTAGAGAGCTGGATTGGAAAACAGACACTGATTTAATATGGAAAACACAAACACTGGCTTGAAGTCTTGGGGAGACCTTGAGAAATGGCTCTGACTTGGTCGCTGGTTTTCAGAGAAGTTTAGAAACATTCATACATGTTTGTATGCATCATAGATAAGATATTTTTCCTCCACAGCTGTGGATCTCCTGAAGCAGGAGGTGATATTCAATGTCGTCCGCCTGGCCGCCACGATCATCATCTGCATCGGGTTCCTGCTGATGCTGCTGCCTGAGGAGTGGGATGAAATCACTCTGAGATTCATCAACAGCCTGAAGGAGAAGAAGAGTGAGGAGCATGTGGAGGACATGACCGATCCCAGCATGCACCTGCGGGGCAGAAGCAGGGCCAACGGGACCGTGTCTATCCCACTGGCTTAAAGAGGGACACAATCTAAATGCACGTGTATGTATATTCTGTGAATATAAAATTTTCTCACTACCTGTACACTTAAATGACAATATTCACTCATAATTTGGATAAACCATATGTGAAATAATGCCAACAATAAAAGTTTACATTTATATGCTTACTGAGGAGCTGGTGTAAATAATCATAATAAATTTTTTTAATTAAAACATATTTGTCCTTCTATTTATTCTCTCGGGAATGAGGATTTCTCTCCCAAGTCACAAATTTTCTTGAAAATTGGAAATTCATTTAAATCATAGTATCACATTTTCCTTAACTGGAATGAAGGACTTTTCATTCAGGCAGAAAGAGTTGTCTATAGAAAAATGTCTGCAAAGATTCACACTATATTTTAAGTCCAGTGGAAGCTTGAATGCTGTGTCCTGCATAGCTCTCAATGTTCCAAGAAAAAAATCATGTGAAGATGAAGAAATGAAGAGAGGCAAAAGCTGGGGTTAGGTGGAGCATTCTTTCTGGAGGGGAAAAAAGGATCTGAACTACTACCTTCGGGATGTTTGTCTATACATTTGACAATGTTGGTATCACGTGACACAGCGTTGCCTAGTGACTAATGACTGGAATTGTCTCAGACAAGATGTCTTGGCAGGACCAAAGTAGCTTGATCGCTTTAGGCACTCCGGCCTTTCCCTACCACTCACCCCCACAAATATGACCAAACTCCAGCTTCAGCTGCTCTCTACACTGGATAATTTGAAAGCTGTAAAATCATTAAACAAATACCAGGAGAACATCCTCTACATGTAAGACCTGCACTAGGACTGATGAAGATGTGAAGATATAGGAGACTTGTGTGTATGTACAACATGCTCAGAGGGGGACAGAGCATGGTTCAGTTCACCAGTGTCTCAACAAGGGGGCAGACATTTGTTAACAGCAGAAATGGATACAGAGAGGACACTGGTTATGTCCTAAATCCCTCACTACCAAGAATTGTTTATATTTGCTCTCATTCCATCTTCAGCTTCCATTCACACCTCAACCCTCTGCCTGAACCTTCTATCCTCACTATTCCTCTGGAGGTATCCTACCTAAGGTCACTAATGACCCCTCTCTTGCAAAAGCATGTTGATACTTTTCAACTCTTACCTTAGGGTTCTCTCAGAACTATTTGAAATGATGACATTTTTTTTCCTAAAACATTCTTTTTCCTTGGATTCCATTACTTTCCCTCTTTTTCAAATTTTAGTTTTAGTACATTTGTGTAATACATGTTTCTATTCCTTGTGGGCAGTTGGTACATGGATGTAACACATCTTCATTCCTCTTTTCATCCCCTTTTGCTTCTTTGCATTCTTCCTCCTCCATCTGTTGAGCCCCTGCCCTTTTCTGTCTTTTGTTGTACATGTTTGCAGTACATAATGTTTACATTCTTAGTGTGGAGTTGGTACAAGTGCATAACCATCCCAAATCCTTTTCTCAGTCCCTTCCCCTTCCCTCCTCCTTTCCCTCCATCTCTTGAGCCCTTCGCCTTGAGAATGCTCTCTCTCCCTACTTCCTTTTATACAACTTCTATTTGGCTCTTTATTTTCACTCTGGATTTCTTGTACAAAAGAAATCATACCTCAGTGATTCTGTGAGGTAGAATCTCTTCTCTTTCTACCTCACAGACAGCATCTCGGGGTACTTTTCTCAAGCCAGTCTCACCTGTATGTCCAGATTGGTCCTCATCCTTTCTTAGCATCTTGTCAGGCTGTCTTCTGGGGAGCTCATCCTCTCCCACGGCTTCAACTGCCATCATATGATGATGACTTCAAGCAGCCCATAGATGTCCTCAAGCTTCACATCAGATTACTAAAATGCCTTCTGCAACTCACTGGGCTGTCTCCTCACACACTCCACATACAGCAAAGTAAAGGAGAATTCATCACCACTCCTCCCCAGACATGCTCCACTCTTTGTTTCCCATGCAGGTTAATGTCATCACTTACCAGCTGCCTGAGCCAGAGAACAGTGTCAACTTCTGCTTCCTCACCACACACATCTCCTTAACTATTGTCTCATATTGGTTTATATGACCTGCTGGTTCTATTTCTTAGTATCTCTTAGCCTCTACCCCTCCCTACTTGTTGGTGGCTCCCCTCACCTCTTGTCCTGATTAATGAAATACTTGCTTTCCTGGTCTGTCTAACTCCTAACCTGTTTCTCTCTAATTACTGTAGAGTGACTTTCTAAAATATAAGTTGGATTATTCTATTTTCCTCTGTATAAGATACTTCAGTGGCATCTCACTGTCCCCTAAGCAACATCTAGATATGTTGGTATGTCATTCAGAGCTCCTTTCTTCCTAGCACTTCCCAACCTCTAAAGTATCAATGCCTGCTAGGACTTTCTGAGATAATGGGGTTATTCTACATGTGCAGTGTCCCAGACTGCCACACCTGGCTCCTGAGCACTCTGCGTGTGGCTAGCGCAATGGAGGAACTGTGTTCAAACTTCATTTCATTTTAACATGTTTGTAGTACTAAAAAGTTTCCATATTAAAAAGTACAGCTGTAAGGGCCAGTGAGATGGCTCAACAGACTAAGCTCTTGCTTAGGCAAGTGCAAAGGTCCGAGTTCGATCCCAGGTACCACATGCTGCACTGGCCCCGCCCCCTGGTGCGCTCTGAGCCAGCAATGAAGTCCGGGCATAGTGGTGCATGCCTGTAATCCCAGCACTAGGGAGGCTGAAAGCAGGAGAATCACTACAAGTCCAAGCTGTGCAGTGAGACCTTGTACACACACACACACACACATACACACACACACACACAAACACACACACACTATAGTTTTAGAGCTGTGTCCCCCCCTCTCTATTCTCCTCGACAGTTTCCTTCTTACAGTGTTTTGCTCAAGCTGTCCTGCCTTGCTTGACTCTCTTTCCCTCTCTTGCCCACTGAGTAATGCTTATCTGGATCTTGTGACACTATTTACTGCAAATTGTCCTGGGAAACTTTTATGTGACTCCCTTCTTCACAGTCAGTGCTTACCTCCTAATAGCAATGATTGCTCTCTACGTCGGCCCGCTTTTCATTGCTGTGGCAAAACTGCTGAGATGCTCAGCTTAAAGGAGGAAAGACACTTGGGGCTCATTGCTTCAGAAGTTTCAGCCCGTGGATGCTTGGCTTTGTCACTTGGGGCCTGTGGTGGCACAGAGTGCATAGAAGGAGCATGTGGTAGAGAAGGCTCCTCTTCTCATGGAGACAAAGAAGCAAGGAGAGAGGAAGAAGCTGGGGCCCAGATGTCCCCTTCAAAGTCACTCTCCCACTTCCCCCCACTCCCAAGAACACAATGCACTAGGAACCACGCTTGAGCGCATCAGCCTTTGAGCAACACTTATCTCAGCTATAGCACTGCCTGTTAGCATTTCTGGTCTATTTCTCCCAGTTTTCAGGAGGCCACACACTCTCTGAGGGCAGGGGCTGTGTGGCATCACCATTGTAGGGCAACACCAACACTTACAGATGTTCCATCCATGAGCTAATGAGTATTCCACACTCATGGAAACCACTCCCTGAATCGCAGGAAATCAATAGGCAGGGATTCTCATGAATGAGACTGGTGAGGATGGGAAATGTGTCCGGTCCTGTATCATGTTTCCATAGAACACTGACACACTGAACTGATAAAAAGCATCCCTTTCCTGAAAGGATGATTAGAGCATCCAGCAGCTGGAGATTCCCTGCGCATTCTTAGGAAATGTAATACAAGAAGTCAGGACTTCATGGCATCTGTCTTAATATCCTTTTCGTCTTTTATTCAGGTATCCCTCAAGACCATTACTAGGCAAGAGAAAGGAACGGAGAGGATCACACTCACCGGATGGGCATGACAGGACATAAAATCCTTAACATGTCAAACATTTGATTTCTCTGTCATTTTTCGAAAAGGCACTGCCAGTCTCCCAGCATAGTTAGATGACATGATATTAAACTAAAACCACACATGCATTTTAAATTTCATAACACATTTTCAGCTTCATGAAAAATGATACAAAGTAAACGCTGTGTGTTATTAGTAAATATGAATTAATTCTTTATCTAAAGTAGAGTTGGATTTGACTACTTAAATGCCATATTGACACAAACATTGCTCTTGACTTGATTTTAATTACCGTGGAAAATCAGTAAGCACCGATAACCCTCTCCAACATCTTGCCACTACTTAACATGACATTTAAAATTGCATTTTGACATCTTGAAGAAATGAGTTGTTTTGCTGTTTTTTATGATTCGTTTTGAAAAAGAGTCAGCCAGCCTGCAAAGCACTAATTCAACCTAAGACTGATCATTGTAATTAGCTCAGTCTATAGTAAAAAATATTTCTATTACACTATTCATTCGTATGTCCATTAAAAAAACTATTAAATTGCACTTCTGTCTTTGAAGTGGGGTATTACATGAGATGTCACCAAGTAAACCCTGTTTGTCCCTAGATCAGCACTGTGGACAGAATTCTATGACCATAGGAATGTCTATCTGTGTTGGGGGAAGAAGAATTAAGAAGAATTTCTGCTGGTGGGAGCTTACAACCATTCCAGGTAAGTTGTCTCCCTGACAATTAATATATGCAGAAATTTGTTTAAATCAGTTATGGGAATGTGAGATATCCTCTCTAACTCAGGCAAAAAGGCATAGATAAAAGACAATACCAATACTTTTCCTTGGTATTTCTCCTGGTCATCATGAGAACCAGATGGGATAAGGTGTTGCACTCACTGAATAAATCTGGTCCTGCATGTATCAATTCCAACTTGGACTTCTTAGAGTTTGGCTTTGGAAAATACCAACCTCTTTTTTGCTCTTCCACTTCATTGCAAACAAGCAAGGACATTAATATCACAGGTGGGGCCAGATGACACTCAAGCACTTCAATGGATCTGTCAGCGCTCCCATGTTCAGCACAATCTCCAGTACTCACAACTTACAGGTAGAAAGATTTAATTTGGCTCACAGTTCTGGTGGGCCCGGTTCACGGCTGGCTGGCTCCAACACGGGCGCATCACAGTTGAAGGATGCAGCAAGATGAAGATGCTTAATTCCTGGCAGCTGGGAAGCAGAGCAGGGCAACAGTGCCAGAGCAAGGGGCAGGGACCACATACAGCAGCCAGGGCTTTGCCTCCAGGACTCCCCAGGACACACCCAGGAATGTGCTTTATGAATTTCTTAATCCAACGGA